AAAATCCTGTTCTTCAGATTTTTAGAAGAACATGCAAAGGATGTTATTAGTTCTTTAAATGTTTGGTAGAATTCAGCATTAAAGCCTCTAGATTAGAGGCATTTCTTGGGTAGAAGATTTTGTATTATTGATTTAATTTTCTTACTCATTGTCCTATTCAGATTTTCTGTTTCTTATGATTTAGTCGGTAAGTTGTTGCTTAAATTTATCTTGATCACAAAGACAATAAATATAACTTTAACAATTTGTACTTGTAACAAAGCTAATATATCAATAATTTTAAATTTACAATTGCACAAAAGAATTTTAATTAAATTCTGTTAACACATTAAGCATTACATTGAAAATTCGAGGAAACACATCAGAGAAGAATTGATAAATCATGTGTTTACAGTGTCTTCCTTTCATTCTGAGTTTAAAGGTTGTCAAATGACTTTGTGTAACATGAATTCTCATCTTGATTGTGAAGTCTTACCTTTCAAGTTATCATTTTAATTATTATAGTGAGAGTTATAGTTTGGTAAAATAATTATCAGTTTTTATGTATGAAATCCTTTTAAATAATGGCAGAGTATTTTGTGATTTAATTTACATTAAGCCATCTAGAACTGATATGTTTCATATTTTAGATCATATTACTGGAGACTAATAGGATTAGGCTCTGAATAAAAGCATATGGAAGATACCAGAGTAATTCAATAAAATGTTGTAATACATGCCAGAACATCCCTACCTGCAGCTTTGTACATTTCCACCAACTAGTGTTCTTAACTGTAGATGTCCTGTAATGAGATTTGGCAGAGAACTGCAGTTCTTCTCCCATTAGAGATTGCTGGAGGAAGCCAAATGACCAGGCCTGCAAAACAGGAAGTCTCAAAGCTTCCCTGAGACCTTGGAAAGATAAAGTCACTGGGAAGAAGGCAAAATATAGCTCAGGAATGCATAACACCTAAGGCTAGTATGTTGGGTCATGCTGCTTTTTAGGGAAACATTCATGGAATATAAAAAAATGCAGATCGAAGACCACATATAAAAATACTTTAAGATGATGTGTAATTCTGAAGTGTCACCTAATAGATAAGATTCTATTATATAATAAACAAACTGCTCAAATCTGGATAATATTTGATTCATATTTAATTTCTGCAACTATACACAATTTCTGACACTAGTGGACTTTTGGTACTTGTTTGATGATACCACTACAGATATGATTTTTATGAAAATATGCATATTGTTTTAAACAATTATACAGTGGGAATCACCATCTATTTACAATAAAATCCTAGAAAAAATATTACTTATGGTGCCTGACCACTATTATGAAATTAGACTTACACAAAAGATGAGAAATAAATGGCATTTATTGACATCTTTATGTATGGCCTCACACAGATCTAACCAGAAGGTTATATTTGCATCTGGATATCTGTGTTCATTTGAAACTCTGTTAATAAGTACGTGCTCATACTCATTATGAGACAGCTTGGTATAACATGCTAATTATTTTCCCACATTCTGGCTCCTAACCACAATGAATTCTATTATAAAAGCAAATCACTGAAAATTTCAAACAGCCTGCATCTTTGAGATGCCACTATTAAAGGAAACACAGTGCTGGCAAATCTTTGATGTTATCAGATGTGATGGAAACTACACATTTATATTTGTGTAAATCCTCTAGACAGAAGCATTTCCCCCACCCTTAAATAATCTGAAACCAATTTCAAGTTCCCAAACACTCTTCAAAGCAGCCCTCCTTGGAAGTAATGCTGATGGTATTTCAAATCTCAAGAAAGCTTGTTTTTTCTATCTCAAGACTTCAAGCAGATTTAAAATTTTACTTTCAAAGAGAAAAGATGTTACCTACCTTCACCCAAGCTACCACGCTCAGGATGGATGGGCAAAATGTCATGGGTAATGAACTTAGTATGTTCATGAAATATGATCATGTCTGGAGAATTTGAGTAGTGATTGTGGCTGTCCTGCAATGCTGAAGTTCCTCCTTGTTCTTGTGTTGTTGACCAAATATTGGAACGTACACTTAGGGCTATGTGACAGAACAACTGTATACAACTGTCATTAGTCCATCTCCTCCTGAATGGGACATCTGTGAAGCTGAAGACAAGAATTGTTGTGTGCTTCCCTCTAAGCCCACAGGGAGCCCGGCCACACAACTCAGAACATTCATCCTCTGAATAGCTCCTGCAACAGGCAGGTCAGTGGCTTCTTAAAAGGCTTTGAATTTGTGGTCAGCAGAAACATCCCTCAGTCTGCTGGACTACAGGATGCAGTGGACCTAGTAAAGTTCCACTAGCATTTAATTTGGTTTCCTGTAGTTGCTTTAAGTAAAAGAGAGGAATGAAATCTGAGGTTATCATCTTGGGAGTCAAAATATTTGTATGTGGTTTTAACATCCTGAGCCCATTTTTTGCTGTTCTGTATTTTAGAAGGAGCCAATATAGTTTGGAAGAAATACACACTGCACATTTATCAGTCCTTCGGTGCCTGTAAAAGTCCTGCAGTAACTTTAAAGGACGAGTTTTGTTTCCAGTAACTGAATTTCTTCCTGGAGAAGGAATACATAAACAAGTAAAGTGGGCAAAGCAATAAATACCAGAGAGTGGGGTTAAAAAAAAAAAAAATAAGAGCGAAGGAGCTTGAGTTTTGGAGAGGAGGCTGTGCTCCATCCTGTATAGACACAGATTTCTGGGCAATGGAATGATAAGAACAAATCTCATAACACCATAGGAAAAATAGGAGACCTGAGCAGGAACCAACACAAGAGTGGTATTTGTTAATACCACGGAAACTTTTCTATTAGGATGAATATATTAATTGGTCGTTGGCTAAGATAATTTATTAATCTTTTTTTTGTCTTTTTCATTTTTATCAATACCAGAGATCGAACTCACGACTGCCTGCTTGCCAGGCAGGTGCTTACGCCACTGAGCTAAATCTTCAACCCCCTATTAATCTTTTCAAGAAGGAATAAGAGGCTGAAATATGCCATGTACTTAAAAAAATTCTTTCTAAATCAGTTATTATATAAATAAATATAAAAGGATTACTAGTTTTCAATTTTTAAATATTTTCTCATATATTTAACAAACTTCTGAGCATATGGGTGGTCCTACAGGATCTTGTCCTTTTTTTGGATTACAAAATTCGCTTTCCTGATATTCAGTCCAGTTCAGTCCTTACTGGGTTTAAGGGCCAATAGTTTCTATGACTCAACCCCATCATTGTAATAGGTGAACAGCCCTATGTGCTTTGATGGAAAATATTGTTTCTTTCTAGAGTGACACCTACTTCATGTCATCTACTTGCTTAAATCAGTTCATTGATATCCACTGCTCTCAGGGAAAAACCCCAAGCCTTAACATGTGCAGAAAAGATTCTCACACCTAGCATACAAGTACTTGATGGACCACAGTTTACTGGGCCCCAACCCTAAAGTTTCATTTTTAGTGAGTCTGAAATTAGATGTGGGAATTTAGATTTCCAACAATCTCCAGGTGATGCTGTTGAAACTCTTCTGGGGCTACATTCAGAACCATTAGAGTTCGAGAACATACAAATTGGATCTTCTCTTGTCTCTAGTTCAGCACATGCCAGCATACTGACAGGATCCTCTGTCAGTTGTGTTAGTTTTCAACAGTTCTTAGTATCCAGATTCTCTGTCTTGCTTCCAAACTAACTCATTGAATGCTTCATGCTAGATTCTTTACTTTATTTCTTTTCATCCCTATACATTGAAGACAGTTTTTTTTTCTGTGCTTCATGCAGATAAATACATTTCACTACCAAATTATACCCTCAGCGAGCCCCAGCCCAGAAGCAGTTTTGATAAGTGTTATAATTGTTAACAAGAACCTTCTTTGCAATATTGTAAGTTCATTGAAGATGGTGACTATCTTATAAATATCACAAGTGCCTGGTACAGTATCTATTATATAGGTAATACTTAATAAGTATTTATTGAATGAATATAAACAAGTACAAAACAATTCCTTTAATCATTTTGCTCTTCCCATCTTTCTCCCAAAGTAGATTCTTTTACTCGTTCTGGGTATTCTGCTAGTTCTCATGATGGATGCGGTATTCTGGAAATGCATGCATTCAGTCTCTAGGAGAACTGGAAGTTGCAGTTCTTGATATTTTTTTCAAATAATCTCACTTTTTCAGTCCAAAGAGGTATATTGCATAATGAACTTTTGAGACAGTTTTGATACTACAAGATGAATTTCCCTCAAATGATAAATCCAGGTTTTAGTTCAGTTTTGGTTATTCAGGATTACATAATGCTATGAAATAAATTCCAATTATTTCAGCTTTTTAGCTTGAGGCATTTTTACAGGATTTTAGTAACACTGCAATTACAGATAACCATTTGACTCTGAATATTATATATTAAAACTTTAAAGGCATATATTCTTTAAATAGGATATCACAGGTGTATTCATTGAAGTTCATGTTTCTTTGAACAAAAATAATGTAATTATAATTAAAACACAACTATTAATTTAATTGTTAAAGTAGCAGGTCTAGATTACACATTTTAGATAATTCTCTCTCATTTCCTGTGATAGTTAGGAAGATTTAGGTATGGTAACACTGTGAGTAGCAGCTGGGCATCTTAGCTTCAACCTGTGTATAACTGAAGTGGAATCCTTAGAAGAGGTGAAAGCCAGTTTCCCTTGGATTGTAGAAGTGGATGGGAGGTAAATATGAGCATGCTATTTGGGAAGATGTGTTACTTTGCAGAGTGCTGCTTGCTCTGCTGTGGTCCTCAGGTGAACTTAGAAGGTTTGGAATAGCAATAAGAGAATGGAAAGCTGGTGGGCGAAGTAAGCGCAGCCTGCAGAAAGTGAGAGGGCCATGCAAGACTACATCTGGATGGGGAGCTGCAGCATGGATGATCCGCTGAGTGAAGAATGCGGTCCTCTGGCTCACTAGCACAGGCTGCCGCTGATTTCAGCCTTCTTTTCTCTCCTCAGGTCTCATTGTACGGGAAGTGAGCATTGAGATTTCTCGCCAGCAAGTGGAAGAACTCTTCGGGCCTGAAGACTACTGGTGCCAGTGCGTGGCCTGGAGCTCCGCGGGCACCACGAAGAGCCGGAAGGCATATGTGCGCATTGCATGTGAGTTCCCACATGGTGGTCTGGGCAGCAGATGCTGGCAGGGCTGCAGCTGACTGGGCATCAGAGAACCTTGGTCACAAGTGCTGGTCAAAAACTGTCCCCAAATTTCTGCGTCTGAGCCACACATTCCTCTTAAATATTTATTTTTTTTTCCCTCTCAAGGAACTGCTTAGTTTTCTTTTAGGGAGGTGAAAGAATTCATGCGACTTTCAAACGATTGATTTTTAAAAACTGCTAGTAATAGGCCACGAGAATGCCAAACAGATTGTTTTCCTTGCTCATTCTGCCAGCTGGTTAGGACAGTGCTGAGTAGTGTTCTCACTGGAAAAGGCCTTGCCAGCTTCTGGAACACAGTGCTATGTCCAAATTGCGTTAATTTCTAGAGTGTTCATCTTTACAAGGAGGCTAAAAGAGCCTCCTAAAATAATGTTCCCCCTGCAAAAGAAGAACTCCTTTAGCAAGTAGAGTTCCCGAGGGATCTTCCTTGTAAATTTGGGGATGTTAAACTACACCTTATCTCCTAGAGAGACAGAGCCTGTCGCTCCTGCCCACACTCTCCCTGCTGGTACCAGCGATTCTGGGGCAGCAGGAGAGTGGCTGGCACTTGACTTAGTGATCCTTATTGAGACGCTTCACAGATGGGAGGCACCACTGAAACTCATGTTTTATGTTCTGATCCTTTTGTATCTTATTCCAAAGTGTGGCAGGTGCTGCTGTCACACATCTGATGTGTCACTGAGTCTCAGCGCTGTTTCTGCACTCAATTCTTCCCTCTCCCTGAAGTAGATCTGAACACTTGGAAATACTTGCCACTTCGTCTCCAGGGTTCAAGTCTTTCCATTTTCCACATCATCACACATGCAGGTTTCCGACAGCCTCAGTGTCCTCCGGTCATGTTTTTACCCCTGCCTCAAATGTTAAAGGATTTCCTAAGAGAAAAGCCATAATTCTTTATCAAAATATCGGCAACAGGGTAGCTTAAAGAACAGAAATATTCTTTGTTCAAGTTTTGAAGGCTAGTTCAGGCTTGTTGTCTTCTGAGGCCTTTTCCTGGCAAATCTTCTCACTATGTCTGGATGTGGTCATTCCCTCTGTGAACACATCATGTGGATCTATGTGTACACATTTCCAATTCATAGAAGGACACTAAGCAGATGGATTAGGGCCTACCTCAATAGCCTTATTTTAAAGTAGTCACTTCCTCAGAGGACTTTTTTCCAAATATAGTCACATTCTGAGACCTTGAGGTTTGGGATTCAACATAAGAACTGGGGGAGGGGAGTTCAGCCTTTAACCACCAGATATTCTGATTTCTATCTTTCTCCCAGCTCTAACCACTGAGAATTTTTCCATTTTAGCCACAGTACATTAGCAAAACTTTGATTGGCATGCCTTTCAACAATTGTTCATGCTTAAGGGCTTTACTCTTATCTTCTTTTCATAAGTTTTAAAACTTAGTTTATGTAACAAGTGCTTTGTGAGGATTGACTGCTCTTGGACAGTGGTAGGTACAGGGGGTGTGCTGGAAGCAAAACATGTACCTGATATTGTCTGACTGGAGTTTACGTTCTGCTGTGGAGAGACTAACTGTAGATACAATAAGTAACTACCACTCAAAGAGCAGATGCATGTGCTGTGGAAGAAGATGCGGGGAAAGGGAATGTGGTGTGGGGGAAGTAGTCAGGAGTTTTGCTGAAGATCTGATGGGTGGGCAGGGAGGGATCCTGCCAGGGGAACAGCAAGTAGAGCAAGTGGCCTCACCTGAGGCAGGTGGGTGCTGGCAGCTCTCAGGAGGCCCAGTACAGCCCAGTATTGAGGGGCTGACAGAGCTGAAAGGAAACTCCTTGATGGGCCCAGACAAAGTGGGAGAGTGGAGAAGCTGAGCTCTATCTGGGGTGCTGTCTTTAGGTTTTAGCAGGGGTGGGATAAGTGTGAGTCTTTCCAGGGAGACGCTCCACCTGACTTCCCCTAGCGTCCCTTCACTGCCATGGAGAGAGACAGAGAGAAGAGGGTAGCAATGGGAACCCCTGCTGGGAGGCTGTGGCTTTGAGGCCTCCAGCATCCTGTAGAGAGGAAGCTCCAGGTAAGGACAGCTGGATTCTGCAGGTACTGAAGGGCTGTGGGAAGAGCAGTACTGAGTTTGGGTGTGAAGTGTGAGGATGTGGAGAATGGATGCTTCAAAAGGCCCGTGCCTTTCGGGAGACTTCTTTCAGCTGCCTTGGTGAAGCCATTTGTGCAAAGCAAAATATGCACAATGAAGTCCAATATTTTGAAAAAATTAATGGACATTATAATTTTTTTTTAAATTACATTTCTCATATATAAATATATACATATATATTTCTGTGTAAAAATGAGGTACACATACATATTAACCCTCTTCTTTCTTTGTAACATATTCTATTTATTATTTAATTTGTGATTTTTAAATATAGCTTGACATTTTCAAATAAAAACGAAACAAACTCTTCCCTAGGAAGAAATTGATTCCCATCAGCTTTTCCCTCTGTAATACTCCAGAGTGGTTTGTTCTAACTTCAAGACTAGCCAAACTCCTGTGGCCAAGAAACATCATCCATGTAAAATGTATTCATTTTGATATATATTATGGGGAAAAGCAAGAAAGTTCATACTTCAGTGCCACCTATCAAGCGCACCCTTCCAAGTGGGCCTCACTGCTGCTCCAGGACGCTTGTGGCACTTTTAGTCTTCCCTCAATCAAATAAGCCACAGGCTTGGCCTATAGTACTTGACAGATGGTCACCACATAAACTACAATTAATGTTCAGATTACTCACAGGTGTAGGTAATCATGACACAAAGTTAAATAAGTGCAATTACCTTTCACTTAATTAGATTAATGCTCATTAGGTATTTCATGTTGGGGTCCCTCTTCTTTTCTTAAAAAAGCTCTATTTTCACAAGTTTATAAAGCAGAAATGAATACTGACCATCAATTATTTTATATGCTCGCTAATGATATTTTATACATTAAAACTACATAAAATGAAAAATAAGTGTGAGATAATCAGGGCAGAGGAAAAAGCTGGAAATTTGAAAAGTAGAATTCAGCAGATGTGAGCTGAGGATGCCACAGGCTTGTTCTATGATCTTTGTTTGCCAGGGGGCAGGCAGCTCCCCTCAGAGAAAACTTTTACTGACAAGGCTCAAGTGGGAGCTACAGGGAGTGTCCTGAGCAGAGCCTTAATGTCACTGCAGCTGCCTGTGTGGAGGTTTTGCTGCTCAAATATTTCTTGTACAGGCCAATGAAAGAATCCCAAGGTAAAAAGTAGGCAGAGCTGCAGCAAACAGTGTCTGTCTTCAGGAGCACTTTTGGCTCCAGTCTGGTTGCTATTGGGGGCTGAGCTATGTCAATGACGCTGCAGTAGGAAGCTGCTTTAGAGGAAGGAGCTGATGTGCAACAAACATCCAGGTAGTGTTCCAGAGTTCTCACATCAGGCCAGGTCGATGTAACATGGAATCCTAGGTATCTCTGATAAGGGAGATCTTGTTTAAGTTATTTAGCCTCTGTGAATCTTTGTTTCATCAGGCATGAAATGGAAATGATAGGATTATTTTAAGATGAAATAAATTTTTAAAGCATATGGCACACTGTAGTGAATTCATAAAGCAAGTGTTCGGTAAATGGCCATAGGTACACATGATAACAGATAGAATAGTTTAAATAACTTTATATGTGGATTTTGAAACTTAGCAAACTAGCAGACTTCGAACACTGCAGGTCCTTTCATCCCAGGCCTGGCATAAATTTTCTCTTTATTCACACAGCATTAGATCATAATTGTCTCCGCGCCTGAGAGTGGAGGAGAGTCACCCTCTGCAACCCACACAAGTGGGTTTACTGTGGGCAGCGGGGTTTACACACATGGAGAATCCATCTTCCTAGGGATGGCAGGAGAGTCCCTCGGTATTCTTCTTTATCATATGTGCAAACCAGTGAATCACACCCAGTACCACAGTGGCCACTGCCTACAGAGAACAATGAGACAGTTCTGCAAAAAGTTAAGGGTGGTGAAGGTCACCCTTTCTGCCCTCCTTTCACAGCATGTTTGACCTTTTGTCTGTGATTAGAATGACCACATGGGCCATCTGAGAGTTGAGGTCAACACTGTTCATAATTATGAATGTATAAGCACTTAGCAGGTTATCTCGAGCAGCAGTGCCCAAAACAATGCCAGCCACATGAGTGATGCCACACTCTTGCACTGGCTACATTGCAAACAATAAAAAGAAACAAATGACGATTATCTAAACAAGCATTTCAACATATAGCCAGCAGAGACAAGTTTTTTTCTCTTTTCTTCAACTAACCTTGAGGGCACCTGTTTCTGCGCTCAGAACTTCTCAGTGATGCCTGATCTCAGGTGGAAGACTACAGCACCACGTGGGGCTCCTGTGTACAAACAGGTTTAAGAACAAAAGTGCTGTTCTAGTCACCTTCCAGGAACCAGCGCAGTCAGCTCTTGCATAGCTTGCATGTGAGGGTGCTATTATTATCCCCATTTTAATAGATATGGAAATTGAAAGCAAAGAGAGGCAAAAAATCCTGCCTGAAGTTACAGAGCTGGAATATGGACAATCAAGTCAGCCGGGAACCAAGTCCATGCTTTAAACTAGCAAACTGCACACAAATAAAAGAAGCAGTGACAAAGATGTCGAAGTTGGTGAATCAGGGAAACCTCATTTTCCCCATGCACACAATGTATAAGCTCGCAGTTACTAATAATACAGAAAGACCTTGACCTCCTGCCTCTCTCTTCATTGCTCTAACCACACCCTTGTTCGCAGAAAAGAACTCATTCCTGGTACACAATCTGCAAGCACTGTTCCTTCCATCAGGAAACATCCTTCCCCGGCCCTAGGCCTATCTCACATTCTTTCATTCAGATCCCTGCTGAGCCAATCCCTATTCAGGGCAGTCTGCTGGAACCCAGCCCAAGCTTTCTGCTCTGTTCACTTGGTAGCAATTTTCTTATCAT